ACACACACACACACACACACACACACACACGCACACGCACACGCACACGCACACACACACACACACACACATATGTATTTATGTATGAATCTATCTATTACTATCTATCTATCTATATACATATATGTGTACAAATATATACATATATATATATACACATATATACACATACATACATTATATATATTATATATATATATATATATATATATATATATATATATATATATACATATCCATATATATATATGTCTATATATATATAATATATATATATATTATAATATATATATATATATATTATATATATATATATATATATATGTGTGTGTGTGTGTGTGTGTGTGTGTGTGTGTGTGTGTGTGTGTGTGTGTGTGTGTGTGTGTATGTATGTATGTATGTATGTATGTATGTATGTATGTATGCATGTATGTACATATATATATATATTATATATATATATATATACACATAGATATACACACACACGCACACACACACACACATACATACACACACACACACACACACACACACACACACACACACACACACACACACACACACACACACACACACACACGCACGCACGCACGCACACGCACACACACACAAACACACATATGTATGTATGTATGAATCTATCTATCTATCTATCTATATACATATGTGTACAAATAGATACATATAGATATACATATACATATATACACTTACATACATTATATATTATATTATGTGTGTGTGTGTGTGTGTGTGTGTGTGTGTGTGTGTGTGTGTGTGTGTGTGTGTGTGTGTGTGTGTTTTGTGTGCGTGTGCATATGCAAGCACAAATCAATAGCAGAGGCGCGAATAACTCTCGTTATCAAGGGAAACACACGGACATTAGTGCAAAGGTCGCCCCCAAATGACAAGAACCTTTAAATGGGGCAGAACAAAAAACATTAATACGAAATGCATTAACCCGGTTCAGGCGTTAGTGGCTAAGGGACTCTTCTTCCATCTCATCCCTTATGCTTCAGCCTTAATCTGCAATACCAAGAGTAATGCCCCGGTGTCGTAGATAACAGTGAGTTTCTACAAGTACTTGGTTTTTAGAGAGAATAGGGGTGCGGGCGAGTCAGGAGCGAGGGAGGAGGCGGAGGGTGAAGTGGGGGAAGAGGGAGGAGAGGCGGAGGGTGAAGTGAGGGAAGAAGGGAGAGGGAGGAGGCGAAGGGTGAAGAGGGGAGAGGGAGGATCTCTCACACTAAAGAGAGCCCTAATGGGGTCGAATAAGTGAAGGTGTGGGTCGAGGAGGAACTTTTCTCTCCAAGGGGAAGCTGGCGGCGGGGTGGAGGGAGGGGAGAGGACCCAGGGGGATGCGGTTAGACGAGGGGAACCCAGACGCAGACAGGGAGCGAAAAAGGCCACGGCAGTTACCGCGTGGGTCGACTAAAGAGGGTGGGGGATGTGGGAAGGTTAAAATACAGGGAGTTGGTGCTGAAATTGAAGGGGGGGGGGGTATTAGTTTACGAGAAAGAGAGAAAAATAGATTTTAAAAGTAGATTCACTGGGCTCACAAAGTGCACGTGTTGTGGGATCACAATGATGTATTGTTTACGGCAGAAAGGAGATTTCTGCTTCTTAAAATAGAAGATTTCCTCAAGATATGGCAGTGAATGTAAGAAAACAAAAGTGATGTAAAAAAAATGATATCACTACATCACCAAGCAACGGATATGAGACGCAAAGTCTAAAAATGAATGTTGTGTATTCCTCGAGGGTGAAAGTCCCATGACAGATTTCCGTATGAATAGCAAGGCGTTGGCCAAAAGAGGGAAAGGGAGACGCGGGATCTGCAAGGAGATGCAAGACTCATACTTAAGAAGGAAGCGCGCGTGGTGGCGAATGACAACACTGAGAGATATTTGGGGCGGTCTCTGGTTCATGGGCTCCTTCCACACGCTCGCCCGACGCCGTGCTTCTCGCCCGCTGGGTGTACATTGAGCATTTACCTCCCAAAGCAGAATTTAGCCATCGTGCCCTCCTTCGCATTCTCTCTTCTACATGGTGGAAGGGGATAGAGCCCACAATGTTTGAATGTAATGATATATATACTGTAACTATTTCCAAATTACTGTTTTTTTCCCTATAGCATTACATTCTCAGTTCAGTTTGTAGCTTCTGCGTCACCCTTGTTCGTGTTGACACTAAACCCGCTTCCGGAAGAAACTGTAAGATCTTTCATAAGAGAGTCTTATCTCTTACACAGTCTCCAGTATCCGGTCTCTTTCACGAACGGCTCAGGAACCCGCGTCCGTCTCTCTGGAGAAGGAAACATGTGACGAAAGTTCGAGAAAGGAGCAGGTGGCGGAGCCGTGAGAAACATGACGTCCTGCTGCTTACTGTCCAACCTGTCTGTTGCCTTCGGGGTTGAGGGAGGGGGGTTGGCTGGGTTTGGACGGGGGTAGTTGAGGGGAGGGGGGCGGGTGCTTCAGCAGGTCGGTGTATGTGTTGGTTCAGCCCGGATCCTGAAGATGCTGTTGACGATTATTGCCAAGCGAGTCGGCCGCGGGCGGGAGGGCGCCGTGGCCGAGGACGGGGTGCTCGGGTCCTGAAGCACGTGCTCTCGTGACAACAACATGCACGCCTCGACATCTTTGTTCTCTCCTGAGAAGGCGTTGTTAACGGGACGGTCGTTGTTTTCCTTCCTAATGTCGCTGACGTTTCCCACTTTGAGTCAGCGTCCGGGCATTGTTTGCTGAGCTGACACAAGACGCTGACACCGAGAGACCCGAATCATAATGCCAAGCAGGTACACGGTACGCGGCGATAACCCTGCTTGTCATGGAGGGCGCCCCGTGCTGTTTGGCAACGTACCACGCGACCTGTTTGGCAATGAGGGGGACGTGGTGTTTGTATGTCGTTACAATTACAGCGGGCTCAGCGGTAGGCCTGTTCACGTGGCTATGGGCTTGGGATGCGGTGGGACTTATGGGATCGGTGGGCTGGGTGGGTTGGTGGGCTGGCTTCGTCATCATGGCACATTACCCACTGACCGGTCACCTTTATGGTTCTCTTTATGACATTCAGAAGCCACACAAATCGATCCGATCCTGCCATAAACACTTACATGCGCACACACATACAAGGACTACATTTGCTTACAACTGTGTGTACGTCCATACAAGCTTATGCACTTCTGTATATTTTAACATACAATATCAGATACATACATACATATATATACATATCATATACATATATATTCATAAAACATACATACACATATACATACATACATACATGCATACATAAATATATAACACATACATGCATGTATATATATATATATATATATATATATATATATATAATATATATATATAAATATATATACGCATATGTACATATCATATATGTGCGCATATATATATATATATATATATATATATATATATATATATATATATATATACACACACACACACACACACACACACACACACACACACACACACACACACACACAACCACATACAACACACACACATACACGCACACACACACACACACACTACATCGACACACTATACACACAACACCACACAATACACAACACACACACACACATACAACCCACATCACAAACACAACACATAAATACACAATCACAATACTATATCAAACATACATTACACAAACAACACATACATATATATATACTATATATATATAATATATATACTTAATATATATGTGTGTTGTGTGTGTGTGTGTGTGTGTGTGTGTGTGTGTGTGTGTGTGTGTGTTATACATACATACATACATAAAACATACATATATATATATATATATATATATTAATATATATATACATTTACATATACACATATATTATACATACCACACACACACACACACACACACACATACATATATATATAAATATATATACATATATATGACATATAAAAACATACATACTATACATTTTATCATATATACATCCTTGCTATATATTATATCTATATATAATAATATATATATATATATCTAATGCTATATAGACAATATATATCATTATATATTATATATCAACATATATACTATATAATATATTATAATATATACATATATGTATATATGTATATGTATAATGTATATGTATATAAACATATTTGATATATATTATATTATATATTTATAGATATATATATATATGTATGTGTGTGTGTGTACATATATATTTTTATATATATGCATATCAATATATATATATATATATATATATATATTTATATATTAATATACACACACAGTATGTATATGTATGTGTGTTGTATATAATAATATCAAATAACATAATATATATATATATATTTATATATATATATAATATATACCTATAACATAAACACACATAAATGTAAATGTAAAGTTTACACGTACACACGCGCGTGCGTTTAAGCGTGTGTGGATGCCAGCCGTAATTCCATCAGTCACTCACACGCACGACCTCGCCGTCAGCTCCAACGCCCTTCCTTCGTCAGATAAAAAAACCGCACGCAATTCCTCGCCTCTCGAGTTCCGTGATGAAGCAGTGATTGTGTTATGTAACTCCGAGCGATGGAATCCAGCCCGTGAGAGTAGTATCTAGAAAAAAAACAACAACACGAAACAACTTTCTCTCTGTAGGAGTTCGAGACCAAGATGAAACAAAAGTGTACCTTGTGCATCCGCTTCGGAATCGTGGGAATATTCCTCTCGGTGCACAAGCCAAGTTCAACCCTCTGAACGCTCTCACACTGGGAGTTCTCACACATGCATTCACACAAAGCGGCGTTCTGTTCTTGAACTGAACAAAAGGGAACGTATGCAGACGATTTTTTAGTACTGCTACTCACGCAAAGAAAATGGGAAGTACTCAACACAATTAGATTAAGCCGTTTTAGGTTTAAGAAGAAGGAAACAGAAAGATCTCGGCGCTAAGTCGATGGATTCAAAGTTGCTCCACTTACTTGTGCGATGAGTGCTCTTCTTGCGGGCCAAAGTTTGTGTATTTCCTATCGTGGCACACCTGGTCGCTGGGCAGCAGCAAACACAATGCACAAGCAGATACCAGGTAGGAAACAAGTCAGTTGAATTCACCCGAAAACATCAGCTGGTTTGTAACTTCTAAAACGGCGACGTTCGAAAAAAAAAACAGACGCACACAGCTCTATAAGTATTTCTTCCCTTCACTGTGGTCAAATAAGTTAAATATTATCACCGCACCATAAGGCCCTCCTGCCCGTAGGAGTGAATGAAAGAGACTGTGAACGTGTGGCAGGAGAGGGTGTGTAGGAGCGTATGTGTGGGTGAGTGTGTGCGTTCGTCGCTCCACAATACCCGTGCGAATAGTGAGTAATGAGCAACAACTCCCCCGCCATACCGACCCATAGCACTCTGGGTCTTCTTAACTTTCCCTACAGTGAGTAAATATTAGTATTTTTCGTGCATGTAAAGCAGTAGAGACTCACATCATTTATGGCGATGGAATTTCGCTATGTTGACATAGTTCTACAGTACGAGAACGACTTTATATGGGCTTCTTTTCCCGCGCAGAGAGAGCGTGACGTCACACGACTATGACGTCACGGTTGCGTCATTACTCTGGAATTCCAACTTCCTGCGGAGATGATTCAAAACTTCTAGGAAAATGGTTTCCAATTTGGTTTCTCATTTCCGTATTCACTTTCCACGTATGGAATTGTCTCCAGACCATTTTTACAAGCACGCCCCTCGCACATTATATAGTTCTTAGACGCAAAAAACAATTGTGAGATAAGGAGTGTTACTTGAACACGGGTGAGTGCTTGCGTCACTGATCCCGCTGCTAAAGGGGACCATCTCTTGGGCTCTGACCTTCATGTTGATATATTCATCCTTTGGTCTGCTTTGGAGTGGCAGATCATTCAGCATATCTATTTACCTGGTTATGTAACTATCTATCTAACACTTTATTGTCTGTCTTTTTGTCTACATACGTAGTTGTCTGTAATGTTTCTCTCTCTCTCTCTCTCTCTCTCTCTCTCTCTCTCTCTCTCTCTCTCTCTCTCTCTCTCCTCTCTTCTCCTCTCTCTCTCTCTCTCTCGCTCTCTCTCGCTCTCTCGCTCTCTCTCTCTCTCTCTCTCTCTCTCTCTCTCTCTCTCTCTCTCTCTCTATATATATATATATATATATATATATATATATATATATATAATATATATATATATGTGTGTGTGTGTGTGTGTTGTGTGTGTGTGTGTGTGTGTGTGTGTGTGGTATGTGTGTGTGTGTGTGTGTGTGTGTGTGTGTGTGTGTGTGTGCGTGCGTGTGCGTGTGTGTGTGTGCGCGCGCGCACGTGTGTGTGTGTATACTATGTACACACAACACACCAGATATACATATATATACTCATAAATATATGTGCGTGTGTGCGTGCGATAAGACATAAAGATAATTATATCGCCCCGTTATTATCTTGCTCCTATCTTGAAAAGTTACATGCACTAACCCAAGTCACCGTGGTCACAATTAGTCAGAGAGCCCACTTTCGCGCGTCTCTTGTCTCCTTTCTATTATTGCTCTCTCTGTAGGTTTAATAATCTAATGCCAAGTCCACTCTAACAAGAAATCGACCAAGGAGGCCTTGATGCGCTTATTTGATGCTACTGCCACAGGTCCTACCAACCCGATTATCACAGCACCGTAATCCAATTGACTTTGCCTGGTGCGTCCATGTAGGTACCTGAGATTAGGATATGAGACAAACATAATGCACCTTATTCATAATGCTATACCTGCACTCTGGTCTAGCAATTCTATCTCGTTTACTATTCCAAATAAACCTGTTCGAGAGAATCAGATCTCTCTCTCCATCTTCTCTTCTCCTCAACCTCCTTACTCGGACTCAACCACGCACCCGGGTCCGACAGCGCCTCCACGCAATACACCCCCCCACCTTTCACCGGTTCGCTCTCCTACCCGGACTCCTTACCTACCTCATGGCCTTCACACACTCCTTACTCTCGCTCCCTGCTGTCTCTTTCTTCTCGACGCTTCACCAACTTAATGACTTCATTGCTCTAACTAGCTTCCCAGTACTACACCCTCCTCCTACTTTCTCTCTCTCTCTTGCACCCAGGTTTCACAATACTAAATTTGACATCTCGCCCCTCTATTAATCTGTGTTGTTGTATGTTTGATTCTCCCTCTGCTCTCCTCTCTATCATCCTCAGTTTACATCCCCCACTCTTTCCTCTCTCTCTCTCCTCTACACTCTCTTGACTTCCTCTCTCGTACATCTTCTTTCTCCCTCTACCTCATACTCTCCTAACTTCTCGCCCTCCCTCTACCATCGCTCTCTCGTTCTACTTCTTACTCCCCTTCATCTCCTCCCTACCATAACTCTTCTCTTCCTTCTCTTCATGTCCTCTCTACCTTGCTCTCTCTCTTCTTGCGTCTACTCCTTTCTTACTCTTCTATTCTACTCCTTTCCTCTCTTCTCTCCTCTCCTCTCCTCCTCCTCTCCTTCACACCCTGATTCTCCATCATACCATTCCTTCTCCTCTCTTCTCTTCTACTCTCTACTCCTCTCTCTCTTCTCTCGTCTACTCAACTCTCCTCTCTCTCCTCTCTCTCTCTCCTTCACACTCTCTCTACACTGTTCATAACGCCTGATCTTCAACTACATAAATAGGCACTCTGCCCTCTCCTTTCTCTTCCCTCTCCTCTGCTTAAGTTTTCTACTAACTCTCTCTGTCTGTCTCTCTCCTCCTCTATGATACTTGTGTCTTCTCTCTCCTTACATTTTTTCGTCTCTCTCTCTCTCCTCCTCTCTCTCTCTGTACTCTGTTCAATCTGTCTCTCTCCTCTCCTCTCTCTCTCTCTCTTCGTCTCTCTCATACGATCCTCTACTCTCCTCTCTAACTCTCTCTCTCTCTTCTCATCTTTCTCTCCTCTTATCCAGAAAACCCTGATTCTCAACCCTTTTCTCGCCGCTCTCTCTTCTCTCTCTTCTCCTCCTTCCCTCTCATCTCATCCATCCTTCTCTCTCTCCTCTCGTCTTCTTTTCACCCTGATTATTCTCACCCCTCTCTCTCCTTCTCTCTCTCCTCTCTCTTCTCTGCTCTTCTGCTCTCTCTCTCTCTGCGACTCTCTGCTCTCATCCACTCTCTTCATCTTTCACCGTCTGATTCTCACTCTATCGTGACTTCTCTCTACTCTCTCTCCTCTGTTCATCCCTCCATTCTCACTCTTTCCTACCTCTCTCCTCTCTCCTCTCTCTCTCTCTCTCCTCTCTCTCTCTCTCTCTCTCTCTCTCTCCTCTCTTCTGCTTCTCTCTCTAATCTCTTCTCTCTCTTACACCTCATTCTCCTCGTCTCATCTCTCTCTCTCTCTCTCTTCTTCTCGCTCGTCTCTCTCTCTCTCTCTCTCTCTCTCTCTCTCTCTCTCTCTCTCTCTCTCTCTCTCTCTCTTCCCGACTCTCTCTCTCTCTGCCCAGGTTTCATGGAGAAGAAGATACATTTCTCAAAACAAGGAAAATTGGTTCCAAACAACATATCCAAATAGCGTCAATTATTAGATTATTACCATGACCAACATGTCTATTATCAAATAATTGTCATGGTCAAGCCTGTTATAAAAAGAATAATATATCCTGCCTGTCAACCTGTCATTAGTGAGCACCAACTTGGCAATATGTTATCAGTTTTCATCAACTTCTTCAGTGAACTGATAGAGGGATACGGAAATAGAAAATAAATGATAAATCAGAAAACATCAAAACAACGAAAAGCGCAACGTGGAGAGAAAGTACAGACGATTGAAATCAGAGCTAAAATAAGAAAAAAAAAAAAAAGAAAAAATAATAATAGAAAGAATAGGAAAAGAAAAAAACAAAACAAAATGGAGGAAAAAAAAGGCCCGTATCCCACTCGACGACGGCGCGCCATGATTCACTCGACACACCTCGTTTAGGAATTGAAAGCAAATTTGAACAAGCTTATTGGGCGAAAAAAAAAATTGCTTATCTTATAAACCTCCCCTTCCTCCCCTTCTCTCTTCCCCCCCAACCACCCCCATCCACCCACACAGTCCAATTAGATCCCAAATCTTTCCCGCAAACATATTGATCGACTGTTATCACCTCCAGAACAGAGCTGGCGAGTGAGAGGGGGCCCGAGGAGAGAGGGGTGGGGGGCGCGAGAGGAGAGAGGGATGGGGGCGCGAGGAGAGAGGGATGGGGCGCGAGGGAGAGGGCGTGGGGGCGCGAGGAGGAGAGAGGGAGGCGCGAGGAGAGAGGGATGGGGGGCGCGAAGGAGAGAGGGATGGGGGGCGCGAGGAGAGAGGAGGGAGGAGGGGCGGGGGGGGCGCGAGGAGAGAGGGATGGGGGCGCGCGAGGAGAGAGGGATGGGGGCCCGAGGAGAGAGGGATGGGGGCGCGAGAGAGAGAGCGGATGGGGGCGCGAGGAGAGAGGGATGGGGGGCGCGAGGAGAGAGGGATGGGGGCGCGGAGGAGAGAGGGATGGGGGCCCGAGGATGAAGGGGGAGGGGGGGCGAGGAGAGAGGATGGGGGCGCGAGGAGAGAGGGATGGCGGCCGGGGCGGAGGGGGGATGGGGGCGCGAGCGAGGAGAGAGGGGGGGGGGCGCGAGGAGAGAGGGGAGAGGGGGGATGGGGGGCGCGCGAGGAGAGGGATGGGGGGCGCGAGGAGAGAGGGATGGGGGGCGCGAGGAGAGAGGGATGGGGGGGCGCGAGAGAGAGGGATGGGGGCGCGAGGAGAGAGGGATGGGGGGGGCCGGGGGGCGCGAGGAGAGGGGATTGGGGGGCGCGAGGAGAGAGAGGATGGGGGGCGCGAGGAGAGAGGATGGGGGGCGCGAGGAGGGAGGGGGGGCGCGGAGAGAGGATGGGGCGGGGGAGGAGGAGGATGGGGGGCGCGAGGAGAGAGGGATGGGGCGCGAGGAGAGAGGGGGGGACGGGCGCGAGAGGGAGAGGATGGGGCGCGAGGAGCAGGAGGGATGGGGGCGCGAGAGAGGGATGGGGCCGCGAGGGAGAGAGGGATGGGGGCGCGAGAGGAGAGGAGGGATGGGGGGCGCGAGGAGAGAGGATGGTGGGCGCGAGAGAGGAGGATGGGGGCGCGAGGAGAGAGGATTGGGGGCCGGGGAGGGGGGATGGGGGGCCGAGGAGAGAGGGATGGGGGGCGCAGGAGAGAGGGGTGGGGGCGCGAGGAGAGAGGGATGGGGGCGCGAGGAGAGAGGGATGGGGGCGCCGCGCCCAGGAGAAAAGGGATGGGGGAGCGAGGAGAGAGGGATGGGGGGCCCGAGACGAGAGGGATGGGGGGCGCGAGGAGAGAGGGGTG